GTCCAGCCCCCGGGGTTGGGACGGTTGGCGGGGCCAGTCCGGAGCGTGAGGACGTCGGCGCAGGTTACAACAGTGAGGATGAGTATGAAGCGGCTGCAGCGCGCATCGAGGCCATGGACCCTGCCACTGTTGAGCAGGTAGGGGCTGGGAATGACAGGTGAGCGGGTATGGTGGATGGTATGCCCAGGCTGAGTAGGGACCCAGGGGACTTGCACGTCACCTCCCTGAGCCTGTCATTGTTTTTCTCTGGTGGTAGGGGCATGAGACACCATGTTTACCTGCCCCTTTTCCCCAAGGTCTTGAGGTTAGAGGCCCGAGATAAGACGAAGGACTTAAAGATGGTGTTTGTGGTCTCTTTTGGGTCCTGGGACCTCATTTTGTAAGGCCAGTAGGTGGGAACTCCCCAGGAGACAGAGGCAGGATGAAATGCCTCCCGGGAGGGGAGTCTCATGACTCTCCAAGGGACCTTGGTCTGTGTTTGGTGGCGTGAGATTTGTTTTTCACTGAGACACAAGTAAGGTTGACACCTCAGATGTTTGAGTGATCCCAAGATATCTAAACCCTTTCAGGGATGTGAGACATTCTGTATAGGACAACCCCCCCTTTCCTTCTCAGGGGGACACAGCACAGGACCCTCAGCAGTGGGGTCTGACATTTCTTCAGGGGTCCTAAGACTGCCTTCAACGGCCTGAGACTTTTCTAAAATCAAGGCCCTGAGACACACATATGCATCCCCTTTAGTGTGAGGGATCTTCTGAGCTTTTCTCCAGGGATATGACTTTTCTTGGGAAGATAAGATTCCCTTCCCCTTGGGGACAAGAGCCAAAACCAATAGCCAGGGACCAGAAACTCTGCTGGGGTACAGGAGACTCGTTCTCTTAATTGACAAGGGTCTGTGCTTCCTCTCAGTATCTGAGACCTCCTTGGGCACAAGAGTCTGAATCTCTCTCCAGGAGATAAAACTTCTTTTAAGTGATAGACCTTTGGCCCCTCTCCCCCACCCCCACCAGGCCTGAGGCTTTTTTCAAGAAAATGAGACTCACTGTTTTGGATACTGGAGCCTAAGATTCCCCCTGCTTAAGGAGTCAGGCTTTCAGAGACTGGGTGTGAGGCCTCTTCAGATATCACCCCTCAGAGATCCCAGGCAAAGTGAATTCTTTAGGGGACCTTTCTTCTCAGGGCCTGGTATCTGAGTGATTTTCTTGGGGGGCCTGAGACGCCACCACCCCCGTCCACACACACACAGGTCTATGGGCTCCTTCTACCCAGTTAGGAAGGACTAAAACACATCTTGGGGACGTAATAGCCCCCTCCCCCCTGTAATAGAGATCTAAGTACCCCCTCTCCCCCTAGTGTCAGGGATGTTAAGATTTCTGCCTTGGGAACTCAATCCTGAGATCTAGGCAGCATGGAGTCCCAGAGATGGAGTCTGAGGCCTTCCCACAGACCTAAGCCTGCCTTCAGGGGCCTGAGACCCACTGTGCTAAGGACACTTGAGCTTTCTCTCAAGGGCAAGAGGCCCTTACTTACCCCAGTGACTGCTTTGTCTCTACAGATGAGATCTGAGCTCAGGCATAGAACCTACCACCAGAATTAATTCCTGAGATCCTTCCCTTGGGGGCATAGGTACAGAGTTCCTGGGGAATATGGTCCTGAGTCTCCCATCCCTGCACAAGAATTTGAACTTGTCCGCATGTACATGAGACACCTCCCCCGCCTTAGGACCTGAGACCTGGGCCTACCCTGATAGTATTGACTGTTACCTCACTTCAGACAGCACACATAAACCTGAGTCATAGCGGCCTTTTAGGGGCATGAGATTTCCTGTCTGTGAACTAAGTCCTAAGAACTGCCCTCTCCCCTTGGGGACATAGGTGTGGTGGGATTCTGAGGAAAAGAATCTGAGCCTCCTCCCAGGGACCTAAGCTTCCCCTTAGGGACAAGAGCTCCTTCACTTCAGGGAGTGGTCTAGGCCCTACCCTGCCATGGGTGTGAAGCCTCCTACAACCAAGCAATCTTTTATCACCAGGGAGAAGGACATGAGGTCCTCCCTGTGTGGCCTAAGGCTTTCCTCACTGCACAGAAGTACCTAGGTGCTCTTAGCTTCAGGCCAGGAAGGTCTCCTTACTTTCTCTCAGAAGGATGTCAGTTACTGGGGGCAGGGGACTGAGGCCTCCCCTCAAGGACTAGCAGATATTCAGAGACGCAGCCTGACCCAGCTCTGCTTGCTTCTCATTTCCAGCATCAGGGAAATATTCTGAGCTTCTTGAATTGCTTTCAACAAGCTTTTTTTCTTCCCAGCGACGGGGAAGAGGTCTGGGACATCCCCACTCCAGGGAAATTCTCCACCCATATCCCTGTCCCCCTTGGCTCAAATAAATCTTTCTGTGCTTCGCAGGGGCCTGGGCCTTGTCTTGAGTCCCCTTCCTTGTTGCCTTTCCACCCATTACTACTCCAAGCAGGATAAATTATCTCTGGATCCACTGAGTCAGGACCAAGAGTTGTTTCTTCTCTCCCTGGTTTGGGGTCAAGTCTGCCTTTCCTCCTTCACAGGGAGAGAGACATCCCTGGTCCCAGGGACAGAGAGGAAGAATGTCACATGTTGCCATGGTGACTAGAATGACATCTCCTTACACCCCCTTTGCATCTCGTAGACTGGGAGTTCCTCCGTTATACTTGTCCCCATAAGAACTTGGGAGTAAAGCTCTGTGGTTGCAGGATATCTTCCCTTCCCAGCTAGAGGAAAAGCTTCCTCTCCTCGCACTTCTTGGGATAAAAGGAGGAAGATGCTTCTCCCTGCCACACCTGGTCCAAGTTGGGACCCTCCGGGGACGTAAGAGGGGGACTGTCTTCCTGCTACCCCAGTCTTGGTCCTGAACTGTCACTGGGGCATTTGTATCCTGGAGGCCAATTAGAGCCCTTGGAAAGGGGAGTTGTGGAGAGGGAGCCCACATGGTGAATCTGGTCCTTGTTCTGGCTACTCAGACTTCCTGTTTGTCCCGATGCTGTGACTGTACCTCTGTTGCCTTTAGGAACCCCTTTGGCAACTTAGGGTCAGGGGTTTCCTTTCCCAGGCACGGCCGCCTTACTGAGAGTCTACTGCATGAAAAGAATGGCTTCAGAGCGTCCTCAGCTTGAGGACCCCACAGAGCATTCTGAGAATGGGGCATGCACACCAAGGTGGTGGGAGAGGCTGGGGCTGGCAGGATAGGCAGGGTGCCTGGGTTCCCATTCAGGCTCTGCTGGGGCTGACCAGCAAAGCCCCTGCTCTGTGGGCCTCTTTCCCTATTGGTCAGGTAAGGAGCTGGTGGGTGTCATTTAGGTTTGGGATTTTAGAGAGCTCACACCAAAGCCCTCTGGACTTGGAGGTGACAGAAAATGGTGGGTGTCTTTTGAGAAAGAACTGGGTTTCTCCCTGTCTCTCCCCTGCCCCTGTGTTTCTTCCTCATCATGCAAGGTTGGTGGGCAGGACAAGCAGCCTATTTGGTGTGAGGCTCAGGGTTTGTTTTTTTGGTCACCTGTGCTGTGGTGAATAAACTCGGGGTTGCCTGTCAGGGGGCCTATTGGATGGTGTGGAGGTAAGGCTGTGTGTGGAAAGAATTGGGCCTTTTGAACTGGGCAGGCCCAGGGTCGTCTGCATAGCTACTTGATAGCTTTGGGCAAACTCTCAGCTGCCTCTTTTTTTTTTTTTTTGCAAAAGTCCACCCATGCCCAGTGATTGAGTGTGTGAGTACCTGGCTGACCCACCTCAGACCTTGGCTGATGCTTCTCTTGCAGTTTCCCCAGGATCTTGCACTTGGGTTCTTCCTAGGAGCCTTTGTAACCTGCCGACTCCTCTAGTAGGGAGGCAGAGTATAGCAGAAAGTGGTCCCTGTTTGGTGGTCTGGGTTTGAGTCCTGTATCTTTGGGCAGTTCTCTTTTTTGGGGTCTCAGTTTCTCTATCCATAAAATAGGTAGTGGTGAGGAGAGAGATTGGACTCAGTGTTCTGAAGCTAGTCGTAATGTCTTCTTTAATTCCCTGTTCCCTACTCCCCCAACCCATTGCGAAAAGAAAGTTTTGAGTGGGGCCTCTTAGTTTTTGGTGGGGGTATGCTGCAAAGTTTCATGTAGTGTTGCACTTCCTTCTCCCTGGCCTATAGGTTCTTAGGTCGTTGTTGTTGTTGTTGTTGTTGTTAATTTTTACAGCTTTATTGAGACATAATTCACATACCATGCAATTCATCAATTGAAAGTGGTTTTTAGTGTACTCACAGAGTTGTGCATCCATAAGTAGGATCAATCAAGTTTAGAACAGTTTCATCACCTCAAAACGAAGCTCTTGGTCATCATCATCATCATCTCCCAGTCCCCTCCCCTGCTCCCAGCCCCTAGCAACCATTAATCTACTTTTTTGTAAATATGTTTTTATTGATTTTTAGAGAGAGAGGAAGGGAGAGACAGATAGAAACATCGACAAGAAACATCTACATTGGCTGCCTCCTGCACGCCCCCTGCTGGGGATGGAGCCCCAACCAGGGCATGTGCCCTGACTGGGAATCGAACTGGTGCACCTCCCCTCCAGGTGCATAGGTTGACGCTCAATCACTGACCACAACGGCCTGGCAGCCACTAATCTACTTTTTGTGTTGATTGATTTGTCTCTTCTGGACGGTTCATAGAAATGGAATCATATAATATGCAGTCCTTTGTGACTGCTTCTTTCACTCAGTATAGGCTCATCTGTGTTGTAGCATGGAACAGTGCTTCATTTCTTTTTGTTGCATAATGATAGAATCTTCATTTTTAAAATCCCTTTCCCTGCCTCTGGCGTTAGGTTTTAGGGCCTTGCTCTTTCCTATCCCTGGAGAGCTTGTGTTGGTCCTTAGAGAGCAGTGCATCTGTGTTTCTCGTTCGATGGGTTGCTTGTGTTTTCCACATGGAGCTGAGCCAGTGTTCCTGGGTGTTTTGGGGGAGAGAGGGATGGTCTTGACACCAGGCTTGCTGGGGCAGAGCTGTGAAGCCCAGAATACTGAACACCTCTTTGCCATGGGCTCTGGGAAGACAACTGTCCATAAGCAGTCACTGCTGCTAACATCTTCTCCTGCTCCCTGTCCCCTTCAGTGACAGCTCATTTATTGATGAGTAGGGTCAGCAGCTT